GACTATTAGTTGCAACTAATCGACAACTAAGTTGACAACTAATCGATTGAAAAAATTTTAATCAACTCGGAACACTAATATGCCAACTAACCTTTTTTTTTCAGGCAGCACTCAAGAACCTTGTCAGTGGCTTTACGGTAATACGAATTGTTCTTGTCATTGATTGTTCTTTTTTCTGTTGTTCTAACACAAGTATATGTCAACTATCCTCTTCTTTTTTCAGGTAATGCTCAAGGACCTTGTAGTTTCGTGGTGGTGAAAATTATCTTTGTCAGTAGCTTCATGGTGATGTAGATTGTCCTTGCTGGTGGTTTTTTTTTGTTGGTTGTTCTTTTTTTCATTGTTCTAGCACATAACTACCCTTTTTTTTTCAGGTAACGCTCAAGAACCTTGTTAGTAGCTTCATAGTGGTGTGAATTGTCTTTGTCAATAGCTTCATGGTGGTGCAGATTGTTCTTGCTGATAGGTTTTTTTGTTGGTTGTTCTTGTTTCATTACTCTAGCACATATACATGCTAACTAACCTTTTCTTATTTCAGATAGTGCTCAAAGACCTTGTTAGTAGCTTTGTGGTAGTGCAAATTGTCTTTGTCGATGGCTTCGTGGTAGTGCAGATTGTTCTTGTTGGAGGTTTTTTTTTGGTAGTTTTTTTTTTTTTGGTTTAACACATATATATATTAATTAATCTTCTTTTTTTAGCTAATGTTCAAGGACCTTATCAGTGACTTTGTAGTGGTGCAAATTGTCTTTGTTGGTGGCTTCGTGATGGTTCAGATTGTCCTTTCAGTAGGTTTTTTTTTTTTTGTTGGTTGTTTTTTTTCATTATTCCAGCACATATATATGCCAGCTAACCTCTTCTTATTTCAGATAGTGCTCAAAAATCTTGTTAGTAGCTTCGTGATATACAAATATCATTGTCAGTGGTTTCATGGACATGCTTACTGATAGTGGTCTTTGCTTGTTCTTTTTTAGTTAGCCTGTGTATATGTAGTGATTATTATATGAAAATAAATTTTTTATAAAAAAAAAAATTATAAAATACTTGTTCAAACTTCTTTGAATCTAAACTTGGGCCTGAAGAGAAAAGCATTAGCAAATCACTTTGCAAGAACTCCATGCTAACTTGAATCAAATCTATAAGGTTGGTCAGTAAAATAACAAGTTAAATAGGGTAGTACAGATATGCTGGCTGATGAACCTATTGCATGGTATGGGTTGGGTTACAATACAGTTCACGTGTTAGGTCAATCTACGTGTTATGTTACTTTTATATTCTGTGATTTGATAAAAGTATATCTCCCACAGAAGATGCCTAAAAGCACTCATAAAAAAAGATCAAATTTTTATTCTAAGAAATACTCATTTTTTAAAATAATAATCTGAACAATATCTAAATAGAATTTTAACTTTTTTTTTATAGTTATGATGTGATTTATTTCTGTAGCTATAGTAATAATGCAAAAACCTTATGTTGTGATTATGCTCTATGACTGTCTAAGCAATAGTACAATAACTTTATGATGTAATTGCTGCTATATAGTGCAAGAACTCATGTTTTGATTAGGTTCTATAGCGGCCACAAATAGTACAAGAGCCTTATGATTAGTGATTAGGCACTATAGCTATAATAGCAGTGCAAAGATCTCGCTTTGTGAATAGGCTTCATATATGTCATAGCAATACAAAAAACTCATAATTAAGCTCTATAGCTATTACAAGTAGTGCAGAACCTTTATTTTTGATAGTTAAGCACCACAGTTATAATAGCAGTACAAGAACCTTATATTGTAATTACACTCTGTAGTTGTGATAATATAAATTAAAATTTAATTAAGTAAAAACCAACAATAACTTTTTTTTTTGGTGTTAAGATAACCTCTTTGGCCTGGGAACTCTTTATTAGTAATCATTTGTTATTATAGTTACAATGAAGATACAACTAGTCATATATATACCTTTTGAGTATCTATTTAAGTAGTCTACTCACAGGTTCTACACTAGATGTCATATCTATAACCCAACTAGGGAGTTACCCATTTAGACCTTCTGATTCTAACTATTTTCAAATATATTATACTAACCACAGAACTACCAACAGCCTATTTTGTTAGATTTCACCCTGCTTTAGAACTTCCTATGGCTTATCCTGGGTTTGCACTGACTGATTACTGGCTTGCATTCCTCTATTAAGCGGATGCACAGGCTATCTTTAAGGTAAACTTACCAGAGCTTTCTCTATCCTATTTGGGCAAACCTGGTTTTGCACAGTTGCTAAGGCTCCTACTTGTAGTTAAGATTATTCCTATTTAACTACTTTTGCCCTTATAAGGTTTACTTCTAATCCCAGTACCCACATTCAGACTTTTTCTTTTTTTGCTATTTCCTTATTAGTCCATCCCTTACTTCTAACCAGTGATCTGAAAGATTTGACTTTGGCTTGGCATTAGGTGCTAGTGCTCTCATCTTGACTTGGTACATGATTTTCCAGCACATGTCCTTTTTCTTCAATTCATTAGACTAGTCTTTTGGACACATCTGGCATTTTTCTGTCAGTTATCTAACTTCCATAACCCCTAGTCTTGGTGAATAGAGCTCTCACTACTGGTTTTCTATGCTGGTTGGCCAGTGTTGGTGTACTCCATAATGCCTCACAGATTTCTAACTTTCTAAATTGGCAGTCAGGTTGGTAAATCCCCTTACTAAAGAATCTTGTTATCATTTGGTTCTCTAATCTTGGTCCTAACTTCCAAATTTGGGTTTTTTCTGTAGTACTGTTGAAGATTGTGGCTACTCCTTACTTGGGTCTTCCCAAACAGGTTTTGATCATCCCAGTCTTTCAGCCTTTTACATGCCAAAGCTTCCATATAAACATGGTGTTACTGAGATTAAAAGTTCTAGGACCTAATTAATCGACAAATAATCATTACCATAATGCAGGCTTATTTTTTGAAATCATCATCTATGGGATTCAAACTTTGAACCTGCTGTTTGGTGGGGTGACAACTAGACCACTTCACTAAGCCACCACATTCTACAATAACTTTTTAATATTTGCTGAATACAATTAAATATATTAAAATTTTTTTAAAACAAAAAAAGTTTTTATATAATCTATCTAACTCATACCTTATTAAAAAAATAAATAATAATTATAAAACTTTTCTGCTAGATACAAGAAAGTATTGGTATGGTGCACCAAGTCACTTTACATCAAATGCACCAAATTTGGGGTATATATAAATACCATTTAGCCAATCAGAATGCGTTATATACTAATTCTGATTGGATAAAAAAAA